AGTGTGCTAGACCTCTGTATTTAATAATTTTCTGCGATTCCCTGAAAGAAGCAGCACCACCGCTTTCACGTGTGCTGTAGTGGAGGTAGGTACTGGCCAGTGTGGCAGCGCACGTGTAGTCCCATACCACTTGCTTACCATCCTTCCAAGGTAGCAAGGTGACCCCATCAGGGCGCTTCTGAGGGTCGTTAGGTCTGGATAAGTGTGGTTCTCTTTGTGCCGGGCAGCGGGCTGTGGCGAGGCTCCTCTTGATGATGTCGTTGACTTCTTCATGTCTTGCGATTTTACCCTGCGATTTACGACATACCAGACCATGTCGACCATATTGGTCTGCCATCGCAGTTCCGCAGATGCACCTATGTTCGGTGAGGATCGGGGCGGCAAGGCGAAGGGCAACTCCAATGCGGAGAGCGTCATGACTGAGGCGAGTTCCCAGGGCTGCATTGGGCACAGCAAATAAAAAATCCCCGGCGTGGGGTGCTGTTACCGCTAGGAGGCGGGCTTTGTTTTCAGCATCAGCGTTGTCAATCATTGCTGTGACAGTGATATATATATATATATATATATATATATATATATATATATATATATATATATATATATATATATATATATATATATATATATATATAGCGTGTAAATGGTTCCAGTGGTGATGTGCATTGGGGACTTTCATCTATTTATCTCATCATATTTCCTTTCTCTTCAATAGCGCTTTCGGAGACGACTTGTTAACTGGCGCACACACACACACAATTCTAGCAGCGAACTAGCTAAAAATGGTCGTTTAACGAGCCACAAGTGCCAGAAATGCTTCCAATAGTGTCGTATTTATTAGTCTAAAAGCAATTCCATGAAGGAATTTACCGATCCACTAAAGCTTCCAGTGATGGTTGAGAAGAGGTCCCCGAAGGTCTTCCAGGTGGGGCTGATACCAACCGGTTATTACTTCCAGATGTGTTTGTTAACTGCTCCAGCAGCATTTCCAGGAGTGGTGTTTTGCCGGGGCATTGGTGCGTCCAGAGATGGTCGTTTATTTTCCCAGAAGTGGTTCAAGTGATGGTCAATTACTGGTCCAGAGGCATTTCCTGGAAATGCTCGTCTTCTGGGTCATTACCACTTATAGGAATGATCGTTGAACGATATAGCAGTTTAAGTAATAATTACTTCGCCATCTTGCCTGAGCTGCCTGCTGAAATATTCCAGATATTCCTGCTGAAGTACCTCTGGAATATTTTGAAAATTTTTCTAATATAATGATATAAGAAGTTGAAAATTAATTAAATTACTGGGTTATTATATCTGAGAAAACTAGAAAGTAATCCCTTGGGAAAAATGGAATATAATCTTTTTGTGAAACTCGAAAATAATCTCTGGAAACTGGAAGGTACAATATTGAGAAGCTCGAAGATAATTTCTTGCGAAACTGGAAGGTAATCTCTTTAGGAACTGGTTACTTCGTAGAAAATTCTAATATAATCTAGATAACTGGAGAGAGTAACCCTGCTAGGAAACTGGAAATTGATCTCTTTGGAAATAGGATCATAATATCTTATGAAATCGAAAGGTAATCTCTGAGGCTGTTGAAATTAAATCTATAACGAAACTAGCAGAAGTCATTGTATTCAAGAAAATGAAATCCCAACACACAAAGCTATTCGTTTATCATCCAGTAACACAACTCTAATCTTATGATATGGAGAGAAAAAAATACGCAAATCCCTTAAGATAACCTTTAAGATAACTGAAAAAAATGCCATATAGGTTCTGCCTTCTTCCTCTCCGGCAGTCCCAAACCTGCTTAACTCATCACCAGTGAACCTTGAAGGTTCTTCTCATCTCCCGCCAAAACCCTACGAAAAAAATAATGAGTAAAAATACAGTCTTATTCAACGAAGTGAAGCAATCTTCTCCATCATTAAACCCAACTTCACGAAAGAATTACTCCTGCCTCTCCCAGCTCCTCCTGGCCACACCTCGTAAGGAAATGTCAGAACTCCCTTTCAGACGTGAAGCCTTTGTTCAGACTTGCGTGGGGCTTCCATTGTGCAGTGTTTCCACTGTGTAGTGTTTCCACTGTGTAGTGTTTCCACTGTGTAGTGTTTCCACTGTGCAGTGTTTCCACTGTGTAGTGTTTCCACTGTGTAGTGTTTCCACTGTGTAGTGTTTCCACTGTGTAGTGTTTCCACTGTGCAGTGTTTCCACTGTGTAGTGTTTCCACTGTGTAGTGTTTCCACTGTGTAGTGTTTCCACTGTGCAGTGTTTCCACTGTGCAGTGTTTCCACTGTGTAGTGTTTCCACTGTGTAGTGTTTCCACTGTGTAGTGTTTCCACTGTGCAGTGTTTCCACTGTGCAGTGTTTCCACTGTGTAGTGTTTCCACTGTGTAGTGTTTCCACTGTGTAGTGTTTCCACTGTGCAGTGTTTCCACTGTGTAGTGTTTCCACTGTGTAGTGTTTCCACTGTGTAGTGTTTCCACTGTGTAGTGTTTCCACTGTGTAGTGTTTCCACTGTGTAGTGTTTCCACTGTGCAGTGTTTCCACTGTGTAGTGTTTCCACTGTGCAGTGTTTCCACTGTGCAGTGTTTCCACTGTGCAGTGTTTCCACTGTGTAGTGTTTCCACTGTGCAGTGTTTCCACTGTGTAGTGTTTCCACTGTGTAGTGTTTCCACTGTGTAGTGTTTCCACTGTGTAGTGTTTCCACTGTGTAGTGTTTCCACTGTGTAGTGTTTCCACTGTGTAGTGTTTCCACTGTGCAGTGCCACCACTGTGCAGTGCCACCACTGTGCAGTGTTTCCACTGTGCAGTGTTTCCACTGTGTAGTGTTTCCACTGTGTAGTGTTTCCACTGTGTAGTGTTTCCACTGTGCAGTGCCACCACTGTGCAGTGCCACCACTGTGCAGTGCCACCACTGTGCAGTGCCACCACTGTGCAGTGCCACCACTGTGCAGTGCCACCACTGTGCAGTGCCACCACTGCAGTGCCACCAGAGGTAAGTCGTTCACCTGGCGCCCGTTGTTGTGAAGATAAAGGCAGCAAATGAGCGTAATTAGGGCACCGTAGATCACCGTAATGAACGGATTACACCGTCGACAATTTTCTCACCAGAACTTTATGGAAATTGTGGGTTTGTGTTACACCTGAGAATGACTTTAAGTAATTACTCGCTTCTCCTGACACATCTGACTCCTGTGAGTGACCAGCCACATGTGTGACATGTGCCACATATGAATATGTGCACACCTGACGCTGGACAGAATGACAAGTTGTTTTAAAACTTGGATTTTTGAGTTTGTTTGCTTCCTAAGTACAAATTATCCACGTTATCCTGGATTTGTTTATAATTTATCAATCATTTAGCTAGTTTATTGCCCATTAGCTGTCCTGTGGGAAGGTGATTCAACCATTGAAACGCCCTATTGTTAGCCAGGTACTGTCACTGACCACATCATACCACTGGCCACACTATGCCAGTGACCACATCCCTACCACTGGCCACACACTGCTAGTAACCACATCCCTACCACTGGCCACACTATGCCAGTGACCACATCCCTACCACTGGCCACACACTGCTAGTAACCACATCCCTACCACTGGCCACACCCTGCCAGTAACCACACCCTACCACTGGCCACACCCTGCCAGTAACCACACCCTACCACTGGCCACACCCTGCCAGTAACCACACCCTACCACTGGCCACACCCTGCCAGTAACCACACCCCTACCACTGGCCACACCCTGCCACTGGCCACACCCTGCCAGTAACCACACCCTCCCGGTACTTTACCTGGTCCTAGTACAACCCTAACTAGCTGCTGTATCAGTCCTATTTCTTTACGACATTGTGAAACGGACCAGGTACTCTCGGGTCCTGGTTCGCACCGGTACCTGTACCGGTGGACCGGTGCTCACAGGTACTGATACCAGTATACTGTGTTCCTGTATGTCGTTGCTTCTCTGACCTGGCACTCCCAGGCACTGTGGCACTGACCTGGCACTCCCAGGCACTGTGCCACTGACCTAGCACTCCCAGGCACTGTGGCACTAACCTGGCACTCCCAGGCACTGTGGCACTAACCTGGCACTCCCAGGCACTGTGGCATTGACCTGGCACTCCCAGGCACTGTGGCACTGACCTGGCACTCCCAGGCACTGTGGCACTGACCTGGCACTCCCAGGCACTGTGGCACTGACCTGGCACTCCCAGGCACTGTGGCACTAACCTGGCACTCCCAGGCACTGTGGCACTGACCTGGCACTCCCAGGCACTGTGACACTAACCTGGCACTCCCAGGCACTGTGGCATTGACCTGGCACTCCCAGGCACTGTGGCACTGACCTGGCACTCCCAGGCACTGTGGCACTGACCTGTCACTCCCAGGCACTGTGGCACTGACCTGGCACTCCCAGGCACTGTGGCACTGACCTGTCACTCCCAGGCACTGTGGCACTGACCTGGCACTCCCAGGCACTGTGGCACTGACCTGGCACTCCCAGGCACTGTGGCACTGACCTGGCACTCCCAGGCACTGTGGCACTGACCTGGCACTCCCAGGCACTGTGGCACTGACCTGGCACTCCCAGGCACTGTGGCACTGACCTGGCACTCCCAGGCACTGTGGCACTGACCTGGCACTCCCAGGCACTGTGGCACTGACCTGGCACTCCCAGGCACTGTGGCACTGACCTGGCACTCCCAGGCACTGTGGCACTGACCTGGCACTCCCAGGCACTGTGGCACTAACCTGGCACTCCCAGGCACTCCCAGGCACTGTGGCACTGACCTGGCACTCCCAGGCACTGTGGCACTGACCTGGCACTCCCAGGCACTGTGGCACTGACCTGGCACTCCCAGGCACTGTGGCACTAACCTGGCACTCCCAGGCACTCCCAGGCACTGTGGCACTGACCTGGCACTCCCAGGCACTGTGGCACTGACCTGGCACTCCCAGGCACTGTGGCACTGACCTGGCACTCCCAGGCACTGTGGCACTAACCTGGCATCCTGGCGAAGGGCACACCTATACAGGTGAGTTCCGTGATGCGGTCGAGGGGCGGAGAGACGGTGAGATCGGCCATCGGTCCGTCGGGAGAATATCTGCAGGTACACATGAGGTTGAAGGAGCAGGGGGCCACCTGGGACGCCGACCCCCGCCACACGCACGCACATACGCACGCAACCACGCACGCCCACGCACGCACGCCTTGGAGGGCACCGCGGGGGTGCCACGCCATCTGTGGGGAAGGAAGTGTACTTAGTAATATATGGCATATTGATCGGGGAAAGATGGATAAAGAAAGAGAGAGACAGACAGACATAGGAAGACGGAGAAAGAGACAGACAGAGAAAGAGACAGTGACAGGAAGACATCAATCAATACACTAAGGGACTGACAAATACATCAATACGACAAATATTTACGGAAGGTCGCGCCTAAATTCTAAATCCGATCGATAGCAAAAGTTCTCAATCTTCAGCAGCGACACAAGTAATTGTCATTCGCCTGTAACTCTGTGGGCCACGATAACCAAGAGTAGTAACACTGTGAGCCACGATAACCAAGAGTAGTAACACTGTGAGCCACGATAACCAAGAGTAGTAACACTGTGAGCCACGATAACCAAGAGTAGTCACACTGTGGGCCACGATAACCAAGAGTAGTAACACTATGGGCCACGATAACCAAGAGTAGTAACACTGTGAGCCACGATAACCAAGAGTAGTAACACTATGGGCCACGATAACCAAGAGTAGTAACACTGTGAGCCACGATAACCAAGAGTAGTAACACTATGGGCCACGATAACCAAGAGTAGTAACACTGTGAGCCACGATAACCAAGAGTAGTAACACTGTGGGCCACGATAACCAAGAGTAGTAACACTATGGGCCACGATAACCAAGAGTAGTAACACTGTGGCCATTATTTACTCATCTTGCACGCCCACATCAATTAATGATTTGCAACACACGTATTTGCACGAGAAAGTGTACGTGTACGTGGTTGTGCTTTCATCTGAGATCACTTACGTCACTAGATAGCGACCCAAATTAATTCGACTTGGTGCAGAAATAATTGAGAGTTTTAATATAATTGGTGTACAGTATATTAGGGTAATTATTTGTGATATGATATTCAGCATGTAAGGATATAATAGAGATTAAGAAAATGGGTAAAAAATCCTGTCTATCCACTGATGAAAGACTTCTAAACGCTTCAAGATAGTCAACCATCGCAAAATGTCTTAAAACTTCTTTATATTTAATAAGACATTATGGTCGAATAAGCCAAGATTTTAAACTTACACCGGAACTTTTGACAACTTACCAATTACATCCTCCGAGACAATCCCATGGATTAATCTTATTTAAACACACTCGTTTAAGAAAGTTGAGTTAATCACGTGAACTAAATTCCGGATCTAAGGGTCTTTTGACAAAAATTTATTTCAACGAAAAAAAGATGTTCATTTGTTCATGTTCAGCTTGAACATGAGTGAACAGCGAGGGGGGAATCTGTCCCCAATATCTCTCTCACATATCTTACATGTCACATGTGCCGATGTTACATATTAACTACCGTATTAGTATGTAAATTAACAATACAATTTGCATGTGTCGCAGAAATCCAACGGGTCAGATTGAAGCAGTTACAGTGATGCTCGCGAGACAGGGAGACAGAGACAGACAGACAGACAGACAGACAGACAGACAGAGACGGTAAATCTACACCAGGGGCTTCTGCCTCTAACCTCCCACCCCCCACACCCTCGGGGCGTCACAGGGTGTAGCCACACCCTCGGGGCGTCACAGGGTGTAGCCACACCCTCGGGGCGTCACAGGGTGTAGCCACACCCTCGGGGCGTCACAGGGTGTAGCCACACCCTCGGGGCGTCACAGGGTGTGGAGATCCCCGCACGCGCCAAGCTTGCACACTTTGTATACATAAATGTAATGTATAATTAACATGTATGAATTATGCATTCTGTATAAAGCTGTTAATGGATTTAAATGCAAAACGTGTGCTGCATCATTGAACAAGTGTAAAGTCGAAGCCGTCACACGGAAACTGTTTTGTTTTGAGAGAGAGAGAGAGAGAGAGAGAGAGAGATGAGAAAGGGAGAGGTGAGAGAGACCAACTTATAGATGAAAGAGTGAAGGGAGAGGAGAGACTGAAGTCATCAGATGTGTGTGTGCGTGTGTGTGTGTGTGTGTGTGTGTGTGTGTGTGTGTGTGTGTGTGTGTGCGTGTGCGTGCGTGCGTGCGTGCGAGAATGTCACGACCACAATAATAACGCTGGTCCTGAACTTCTATATTAATCAGTCAAATGAGCTGAGTGTAAATCATTACACACTGGTCCGTAGAGGAGCAGAGCCGTCAGGTAAGAGACAGCCACGAGAGAGGGAATTGGTGATTGAAGGAACGGGGGGGGGGTAGACAGAAATATAAGGTGGAAGACGAAGAGGGAAGATAAAGGTGGAAGAGAAGAAAGGAAGGGGCATAGGAAGAAGGGAAGGAGGCGGGAATAGGAGCAGGAGATGGATGTTCAACTCTCAGGAAGAGAGAAGATGGGAAAGGGTGAACTCTAGTGAATAATTAAACACTTGTTTATATAAATGAATGAAAGAAGGAATGGAGTAGAGAGTAAAAGTAGGAGAAAAGAGAAGATGAGAAATGAAGGAAAGATACGATGAAAAGAAAGAAAAGAAAGAAAGATACATCGCCAGATACGATGATGTCTAAGGACGAAGGTGAGAGAGAGAGAGAGAGAGAGAGAGAGAGAGAGAGAGAGAGAGAGAGAGAGAGAGAACAATTAGCAAATGAGGGAAGTAGGGCAGAGGAGGGTGAGGGGAAGTAGGGAAATAGGAGGAGCTAGAAGAAAAATGGATGATGTTTGTAAACATGACGAAGGGAAAGTTGGGAAAGAGAATTTGGGGGGATGTTGAGAGTTGTGGGAGGGGGAAGGAGAAGGGGGTGAGGGAAGGAGGTGGTGATGATGATGTTGGGGGAGAGGGGAAGAGAGGGGGGAAGGAAGAGGGGGAGAGGGGAACCAAGGACACCTGAAGTATTGACCCGGAAATCAATTGTGTGATCACGCTAACCTGACCAGTAGTCACGCCCGGGGCGGCTGGCGGCCACCACCACCCTCTCAACCACCACCACTACCACCACTACCACCACAGTGATAGTAGTAGCAAAAGTACTACCAGTAATGCTACTGTCACTACCATCACTTTTACTGTTAGAGTACAAACTGATATGATAGTTCAGTGTGTTAGAATACAATTACAATCGTCTCCTGTTGTTAGAATACAATTACTACCGTCTTCTGTTGTTAGAATACAATTACTATCGTCTCCTGTTGTTAGAATACAATTACTATCGTCTCCTGTTGTTAGAATACAATTGCTATCGTCTCCTGTTGTTAGAATACAATTACTATCGTCTCCTGTTGTTAGAATACAATTACAATCGTCTCCTGTTGTTAGAATACAATTACTACCGTCTCCTGTTGTTAGAATACAATTACTATCGTCTCCTGTTGTTAGAATACAATTACTATCGTCTCCTGTTGTTAGAATACAATTACTATCGTCTCCTGTTGTTAGAATACAATTACAATCGTCTCCTGTTGTTAGAATACAATTACTACCGTCTCCTGTTGTTAGAATACAATTACTATCGTCTCCTGTTGTTAGAATACAATTACTATCGTCTCCTGTTGTTAGAATACAATTACTATCGTCTCCTGTTGATAGAATGCAATTACTATCGTATCCTGTTGTTAGAATACAATTACTACCGTCTCCTGTTGTTGTTAGAATACAATTACTATCGTATCCTGTTGTTAGAATACAATTACTACCGTCTCCTGTTGTTAGAATACAATTGCAATCGTCTCCTATTGTTAGAATACAATTACTATCGTCTCCTGTTGTTAGAATACAATTGCTATCGTCTCCTGTTGTTAGAATACAATTACTATCGTCTCCTGTTGTTAGAATACAATTACTATCGTCTCCTGTTGTTAGAATACAATTACTACCGTCTCCTGTTGTTAGAATACAATTGCAATCGTCTCCTATTGTTAGAATACAATTACTATCGTCTCCTGTTGTTACAAATACAATCTTTTATGACTGAGATTGTTTTCTGACATATTTAACATATAAGATTGTATTCTAAAAGCATATAACTATATCCGTTGTGAAAATATCATCTATTGTGACAGTTCCCTGTTGTTAGCCTTCAAGGTTCAAACAATTAGTTCTTAGTCGTTAGAACTAGCATTGTTCGTTATTGAAAAAGTCCTCACTTCATCTTGGACCGTAAAGAGAGTGAAATGGAAGGAAAGGTGGAGGTAACCAATCAGGTTTGTGGATACAAACCGCTTTGTCTCTCTTAACGTGATTGGTGGATTAGTGGAGTTATTGTGTGTGTGTGTGTGTGTTCCCGCCACACCTGCCACACCTGCCACACACCCGAAACCCTTGCCGGAGCATTAAAGGAACAACCGAAGAATCTTGCTTTCTTAACTATATACGAAAGATTTCGTAAGAAAAAAAACTTTAATTGCAAAAAAAGAGGTCAATTTAAAGAAGCTGTATATGGGGACCTTCGTCAAACAACCTTACCCAACACCAGGTTATTTAGACCTTTGACCAAGAGTGTGCAGAAACAAACCATGTCAAAAAAGGCAATAGCCAATCACAGCGTGCAGAGTCAAAGGAGCCAATCACCGAGAATATTGGCGCCAGGATCGACCCATTAAAGCCTCATTCATATTTTGGGCCACGAGCCATTACTGTTTACTGCGTGAATTGTTCGTATCTTTGGCGTACTGATGCTGGGGGAAGAGGCTAGGCTGAGGAGAGAGAAAGAGAGAGAGAGAGAGAGAGAGAGAGAGAGAGAGAGAGGAGGATACGTTAGAACGAAGGAGAAAGTCGGAAAAAAAAGATAGAGAGAGAAAGATGAGCAGGTTGGGGACAGTGGGAGAGAGAGAGAGAGAGAGAGAGAGAGAGAGAGAGAGAGAGAGAGAGAGAGAGAGAGAGAGAGAGAGCAAAAGGATAATAGGATAGAATATAATGGGTGCATAGAAAGGAGATTAAAGCTAATAATAATAATACAACAACAACAACAACAAGCATTAATACAACAACAGTAACAGCCACCAATTCAACATCAACAACCAGGAATACAGCATCAGCAACCACCAATAGACAAACGTTAACCACTAAACCAACAACCACAATTACATCAACAACCATTAAT